CAAGAAGTCACTGCGGTTGTGGTGGATATTCCAGTAAGTTCAAGTGAGAACTTATCGGAGAGAATCGAAGAAGATGAAGAATCAAAGTCGCCGGTGTTCACAAGGTTAAGATCACTTAAGAAGTTGTTGAGTAGAGAGAAGAAAGGTGTTGCTTGCATTCCTGGTTCAAGCAGTACCAATATCAACAATGTTTGAAATACTAGCTAATCTTGAGTCCATTCAAGAATTTATGTTTTGGTATGCTTTACGAGAAGTGTGACATATATAGTGTGATTTAAATCTACATCACTAGAGATGATGATTCAAATATAGTTGCTATACTTTTTTTTTTTTTTTTTACAACGAACGGCTGATCTATTACTCAAGCTTGAGGTGGTCTTGGAATCCAGACCGGAATAGAACAACCAACATACAAGAGATTCCGATAAAAGGATCGGGCAGTCTTAGCTAAATGATCAGACATAACATTAAGAGAACGAGGTACATAAGATATCTTAAAGTCTGGGAAACAAATCCTCAGCGTCGAAATTCTCTCCAGTTCCTTCGAAAAGCTTGGCCAACCGTGGGGTTCCTTGAGCATTGCTAACAATTCCTTGCAGTCCGTCCCAAAGCTCTGACATGGTGAATGTTGAAGCATGTTCTCCATTGCCCACCGCAGCGCTTCCAGCTCAGAATGCAAAGCCGACTCTACTCTACTCACATTACGCATCCCCATCAGTTGACTATTTCCCCTGTTATCCTTACAGTCCCAACCACAACCAGAAAATTGATCTTCCAAGAACCATCAATCATGCAGATATCTCGTAGACTTGTGGCCTGACGTTCAGTATCGCCATCCACTTGTGTAATTTCAACATCTTGCTCATTAGCCTGGAACCAGGCAAGACACTCACTCTCTGCATACCGGGCCAGTTCCAATGGGTCTCTATCTATTCCTCTGAACAACTTATCATTCTGAGCCTTCCAAATGTACCATATCAACCAAGGGTAAGGGTCCCTTTCTAATTCTGGCCCACAAATGATCTTCTTCCGCCAAAACAGATAATCCATATTCGCGTATGTATTCTCCAAAGGGAATAAAGTGGGGCTGGTAGGTATAGATGCTAGTGCCCATACCTGCAAAGCCGGTGGGCATTGAAAAATTGCATGTGCAATTGTATCCTCCGGATCTCCACATCGTGGGCAGAAATTATCGCACCTCATGTGTCTATGATTCAGCGCACTCGTAACAGCCAACTGTCCCGATATAATCTGCCACATAAGATGACACATCTTCGGGGGTGCTTTAACCTTCCAAGCTTGTGCTTGAAGCCTTTTAAAGCTAGGTTCGTCTACCAGATTCTCATCCTCCTTCATTAGTATATTACGAGCTACCCAATAGCCAGACTTGACGGTGTACTGCCCACTCCTTGTGTAACTCCAGCAGTGTGTGTCTCTACGGTGGGTTGAACTAATAGCCATACTCCTTATGAGAGGTATATCAGCAGCGTCAACATAATTTGCCAGCCGATCCAAATCCCAAGTCTTAGTTTCTTGATTGATAAGATCACTCACTCTCATATTCGGATGCATAACCGGAGCTGATGCATGCGCCGGTCTCGCTGGGATTGTGGGAATCCATAGATCCTCCCACTCCTTCACATCATACTCTGAATGAATTTTCTGTCTAACCCCCAATAGCAACAACTCACTTGCAGCCGAGACGCTTGTCCACACATACGATGGACTACTGGCAGTGATCTTTCGCAAAGGCGAACTTAGTCTATAATACCGCCCTCTCATCACACGGGCAACCAATGAATCCGAATTTTGAGCCAATCTCCACAACTGCTTTGCTAGTAATGCCAGGTTAAATTCATGAATCATCCTGAAACCAATTACACCATCCTCTTTAGATAGACATAGCTTATCCCATGTTGTCCAGTGTAAGCCTCTATTTGGTGGGTTTGAGCTCCACCAAAACTGTGCAATGGCACTAGCCAAGGCATCACATATCTCCAATGGAAGCAAAAAGCAAGACATAACATAGATTGGGAGCGCTAACAAGATTGACTTGATCATAACCTCCTTTCCATCTTTGGACAACCACCTACCCGTCCATCCATTCACTCTGTTCCGAAGTTTGTCTTTTAAGAAGGCAAACAGCTTACATTTCGATCCACTGATATCCTCTGGTATCCCTAGGTAGGTTCCCATTCCGGCGTCATTTTGTATCCCAAGTGTATCTTTTATCTTCTGTCTAGCCTCTTGACCGATCCTCTTACCAAAGAGTAAAGAAGACTTGTCAAAATTGATGCACTGTCCAGAGGCTTGTCCATATTTCCTAACCACTTTCATTACTTCTTCACATTCACGGGGCTCTGCCTCACAAAAGAACATGCTATCATCAGCAAATAGCAGGTGGGATACCGAGGGACACGCACACGTGATGCGCATCCCCGTTATCTTTCCCTGATTCTCTGCGTGATTAAGAAGGCTAACGAGCGCTTCCGTGCATAGAATAAAAATAAAAGGGGACAAAGGATCTCCCTGACGTAGACCTCTCTCCGGGACAATATTCCCTCGTGGCTGTCCATTCATGAGTACCTTATACTTTACTGTCGTTATACATCGCATAATCCAGGTAATCCAGATTTCGGAGAATCCCATCTTCCTCATGGTGGCTTCAATGAAAGACCATTCCATACGATCATATGCCTTGCTCATGTCTGTTTTGATGGCCATCCTCTTATTGCGCCAACTTGGTTTTGTTCTTAAGGCATGGAACAATTCCTGAGCTATCATTATGTTATCTGATATTTGTCTCCCAGCAACAAAGGCTGACTAGGTTTCAGAAATCCTATCTGGAAGAACCTTTTTAAGTCTTTGGCATAAAATCTTTGAGATAATCTTATAGCAAACATTACAAAGACTGATGGGTCGTAGTTGGCTCATCTGGTTTGGCTTGTCAACTTTTGGGAATGGTTGCTATACATTGGAGTCAAATTCTTGCAACGGTATATATACTTCTACATTTATCTTTTTACTTGGAAAAATACATTATATTAAAACTAAAAGGGTAAACCATACTCCTTTCATTTCACTTTAGTTGTCGTTTTAGATTTTACACATAAATTAAGAAAACCTTTAATTTTACATATTCTCTAGACAAAAACACCATTACTTATACACCTAATCACATTTCAACCAATAAAAAATAGAATAACAGATAAAGAAAATAAATTTTACATATAATTTTAAAACGACACTTGTTTTGAAACGAAAATTTTTCTTTACAACGACATATAAATTGAACCTGAGGGAATATACTATAGAGTAAACCATATAATATAGTGGAAGATGAATAGAAGAGTGGTTTGAGAAAAAAATAAAGCCTAAGAAAGAAAAAAACACTCAGTGTTGAGTTTATGAGCACTTAACATTCACACATGTGTCACATTCTCTACATCATAATCCACAGGGACGTAAGAGCACCATTAACCCAAAACCTTAATTAGGGGTGTTTATTCTTTTTTTTTCTTTTAATAATTTTAAGTTGTAAAAGTGATTTAAGATGCAATGTTAAGAATCCCAAACATTTTTGTGCTCTAACGGGAGGTTCTTATTTTGGGATTTTTTTTTAAAATATAGATTATTTTTTAAAGATAAAATTTATTTATTAAATAAAACATAAAAAAATATTTAAACATAGATTCTAAAATAAAAAAACAAAAATGAATCAGATATACGAGAATAATTTGAAAGAATCCTCCGAGCTCAGTTGTTGTCTTCATCACGTCCAAATTTACGCTATATATGTCCAACCAAATGTTGGGGTCAAAATCGGTCACGACGGAATTTATGGCTAAAAGTCCCAGAAAAGCATACAAGAAACTGTAGACGTCCTACGAAGATATCAAATTACGGAAAACTCATATCACAGTATGAAATAGTTAAAAAAACCTTGTTGTGGTCAAAATTGGTTATGATAGAATCAATGACCAAAACTTTCCGCAAAGTTAAGGATAAGTTTTAGAAATATGAAAAAGTTTCTAGAAGAAATCTAAGGATTTTCCGAACAAAGAAATTTCGTAAACTTAACAATCATCATCTTGGAAATCATTGGAAAATCGAATAAAACAATCCGCGATTGTCCAAATTGGCCAAATTAGCAAAACACGGCCGTAACGTCCAAACTCCCCGAAACAGTAAAAGCTGTTGTTGAGGTTGAAAACAATAACCTTGAGATCAACGTCTACGATTATTTCTCCTTATATTCTCTGAGAGGATCTCGGGTAAAAAAAAATGAGAAAACGATCGAAACCGAACAATCGACCAGCTCGCCATGTTGGCGAGCTGAACCAACCAACAGGCGAGCTGGCCATGCTCAACCAGCTCGCATGTCGGCGAGCTAAACCAACAAGTCCAGCTCGCCAACAGGCGAGCTGACCATGCTCAACCAGCTCACTTGTTGGCGATCTGGCCATGCTCGACCTGCTCGCCTGTTGGCGAGCTTGACCAACCAGTCCAGCTCGCCAACATGCGAGCTGGCCATCCTTGACCAGCTCGCATGTTGGCAAGCTGAACCAAACCATCCATACCCCTCGACTCGATCGTACTCTGAGGTGTTCTTTCTATGACTCCTCTTAACTAAAGTAGTAGTTAAAATAGGAAACTAAAAAACGGGTCATATTAAAAAGTCTTCTTTCTTTCAATTCAATCTCATTTTTTCTGGCTCGGCTGGATAATATAGCCGAGCCATTCTCCTTTTTTATGATGCTAAGAAGTAAAAAAGCCAATAAAGAAAAAAATCGATTCATCCAACAAAAGGAGAGAGAGGGATTCGAACCCTGATAGTTGTTTTTTATGAACTATACCGGTTTTCAAGACCGGGTCGTTTCGTCTCGATCCGTCTTACCAACGGAGATTTACGATAAAAACCGTAAAAGACTTGTTTTCTCATAAAACCTTGAGTAAATCATATAAAAGGGCAACGGTTAAATAAAACACCAAACATTGCCAAACCATGCGATTAACTCGAGATATTTATAAAAAACCGCTAAAGACTTGTTTTCTCGTAAAACCTCGAGTAAATCATATAAAACGGCAACAACTAAACAAAACACCGAACATTGCCAAACTATACGATTAACTCGAGATGTTTTATAAAAACGACATCGTATCAGGAAACGATCTCATCTAAATTCGTAAAACAG